CCGGTCCCCCCTAGGGGACATTTGGCCATGTCTGGAGACATTTTGGGTTGTGACAGCTGGGGAAGGGGTGCTACTGGTGTCTAGCTGGTAGAGACCTGAGGTCCTACTAAACCCCCTGCAGTGTACAGGACAGGCCCCCACAACAAAGAATTACCCAAATGTCAACAGTGTTGTGACTGAGAAACCCAAGTGTGACCACTCAGCTGGGTTCACTGATGGCAGCCTGTGCCACCAGGACTATCCAGTCGTCGAGCTCTGTAGGCGGTGTGGCAACCGGCCGTAAGTTTCAAGTTGCATATTGCAGTGGGGGCAGCTCTTCAGCGGCTAGGACACCCAGGGCAAAGGCTGGGAGGCGGGACGTGCCTGGCCTGGGGACACCGCGGGAAACGGCCTGCGGGAGGAGAGCTCAGGGCACTGGGCATTCTCCCCGTCCCCCAAGCCGGGGCCTGTGCCTGCGGCTGAGGGACGGGCAGACTAACGGCCTCTGTCTCCTTTCTGCCCGCCCTCGTTCCACCCCCCTCCTCCCTCCGGCCTCGTCCCCCGCCCGGTCCCTGGCTCCCCAGTGTTCGGCCACAACATGAAGAGCAGCAACGACTTCATCGGGAGGATCGTCATCGGCCAGTACTCGTCGGGCCCCTCGGAGTCCAACCACTGGCGGCGGATGCTCAACACCCACCGCACGGCCGTGGAGCAGTGGCACAGCCTCCGGTCCCGGGCCGAGTGTGACCGCGTGTCTCCTGCCTCCCTGGAGGTGACCTGAGGGCTGCAGGGGAGGCGGGTGTCATTTATAAAAAAAAGAAAAAATTAAAGACAAAAAATGTGTCATCGTGTCATCTACCTATTACATCCACACCCACCACACACACACACACACACACACACACACACACACACACACCCCAGATTCTCTCAGACCTGAGAAGAAGCTGACTCTTGATCACGAAACGGCCACCCTCGATGAGTGAGGCCTGAGAACTCTCTGGAAGCCCCATCCGTAGGCTGCGAACTGAGTGCACACTGCTGTGAGACTTACTGGCAGTGTTTGCTCTTGTGACACCCCCCCCCCAAATGCACTTCCAACCTTCAAGCCAGAGAAAGGGCCTCCCAAACGGTGCCAGCCTCCACCAAGAGATTTTCCAAGAGTGTGGGGGAGGCCCGGCCCCCGTGCCCAAAATGCGCACCCACAGGGTGACTTTGGAACAGGCTGCTGTTCCCTGGGGTCCTTCGAACCTGACACCTTCCTCCAGAGTGTGAGTACTTCGTCTCCTGTTTCGTGGACGTGATAAATAGATTAGACTATTTGGAGAGCCAGTCGGCAACCAAACACACCGCAGTGTAAGAAACCTCTCCTGGCGTAACTGAACTTTTCCTTGTGTTAGCTTACCCCTGGGCACTCCCTGTGGGTGTGTACGTGGGTGTTCTCGTGCGTGTGCCCTTCCAGGTGAACGTGTGTGTGCCTGCGTGTCCCCTCGGTGAGCAAGGCAGCCGCCAGGACCTCAGTCCAGGCCTTCCCTTCTCTCTGCCTCTCCCATCGGTGAACTCGCACCCAGTGTCCTCCTGTCTGTCAAGACCCCATCTTCAGTAACCGTAGTGTGTATCTATGTCAAGAAAATAGAACACGATAGAGCAAAACAGCATTTTTATTGACCAAATCCTGGTGATTGTGACTCACAGCAGACCTGCAAAGGACAGTGACATGGACTAAAACGGCCACCACATCCTCATTCAGGGAGAGCTCCTTCCCTGACACATCTGAGGACCTTTCTGTATTTGTGTGTGAGCCGAAGTCATTTCTCTTGTGCTAAGGAGTTAGTGTAGTTAGAATAGATCTCTCTGTTGGATGCTTCTGTATCTTTTCCCACAGCATATTGTCTGGTATACTGGGGAACTATTTGTTGAAATTAAAGATTATTTATTTGTGCCATGCATTCGAGTTACCTTTTTCTTCGGGGACACGGCGCATAGAGGGTGGGAGGGTGTTTCAGTTACTACTGCTGTGTGACAAACCATCCTGATGACTCAAGCACCTGTATTTATTACACTCATGGGTTTTGGGAGTCAAGAATCAAGACCAGACACATCAGGTATGGCTCATCTCTGCTCCATGGTACCTAGGCCCTCAGCTGGAAGACTCAAGGGCCACAGTGGGTAGAACCAGCCAGCCAGTCATGCTAAACATTGTTGGTGACATTAAATTGTAGTCTCAGAAGGAAGAACAGTTGAAACATTAAAGTATATCAATCTGATGACTAATAAGAGAACCCATAAAAGAGGAGACAAGATTTAAACACAAACTAGTTTAAGTGACAAAAGAAGTCCGCCTTCAGGCATAGCTGGATCCAGGTGCTCAAATGAGGTAATCAGGGCTTTGTTTATCACTCTGTCCCCTGGATAGGCCCTCCCCATTCAACGAACATCATAATTACCAGTAGCTTAAGAGTCCCAACTCATACTCCTCATCAAGATCCAGCTTAAATGACCACATTCTGATTTTCCAAGACAGAAATATCAGCTCCTTTCTGTCCTCCCCACAGCAAGAACCTATTTAGCTTTTGTAATAACAACTATCATTTATTGTGGCCTTACTGTGTGTGCTAAGCCCACTATGTGCATAATCAAATTTAATCTTCACAACAGCCTTTTGATGCAGGAGCTATTGTTCTCCCTATTTTCCAGATGAGGAAATTGAGGCTCTTTTCTATAAAACTGTCCCCTTGTTCAGGGTAAGACCCGTGGCGATTTAGCTTTTTATTGGCTCAGGGCTTGACCCAGGTAAATACCCCTGGGTTGAGAAATTACCTGAGATGGCTTCACCCCTCCTGGCCACATTGGGCATTGCAGGGTCCCTCGTGGGTCCTCTGGTGTCTCCCCTCTGGAGTGAAGGTGGCATGGAGCTCAAGGGGAAATGCAGGTCAGGGTTAGGTCACGTTTCTCAGGAGAGAGGAGAAGACATCGTCCTTTTCTGTAAAATGGCTTTCTCACCAAGGGTGAAAGTATGAGAGAGCAAACGAGGAGGGCGGACAGGTGCAGACAGGCATTCAGGACTAGAGGTAAGCTAATGCGGTGATTGGGCCCATGGGCTTTGCAGCCAAAGAATCATGGTTCAAGCCCTGGGCCCAGCACGCCCTGGATGTGTGCCCGTGCACAAGCCACACAGCTTCTCAGCCTTGTCTCCACCTTATCTTGGGGTACCTCAAAAGCAAACCTGGAGGCAAAGACTTGGGTGCAGAGAGTTTATTTGGGAGGTGACCTCAGGTAGCATAAACAGAAGACTGCTGAGGGAAAGGTGAACAGCAGGTGAGGGCTGCATGAACTACCGCTGTGGGCGGCTGGGGCTCAGTCACGCAGGGACCCAGGCGGAACACACTTGAGAATGATCATTATAGGGAACGATCGTTTAACTACAGACCCCATTCCTCGGGGCTTAGGGTTGCCCCTGGGGGCATTAAATGTTTGGCGCTTTAGAACTGTCCTGTGTGGGCTGAGTACCCTCCCACAGCACCGAGAAAACCCCAGGGGCAGAGAACAGAGGTGCACATGCTAAATCAGGTCAGGGCCTGTGTGCACGGCCAGGTGCCTGCAGCCACAGGGGAGCTCAGGTGGACTTTGGGCTCTGCGGTGGGGATGCCAGCATCTGCTGCCCTCGGTAATAACGGGGGGCCTGCTAACACTGGTGAAGTGCCAGGCATTTCATTTAGTCTTCATGCAGCGACGCATTGGGAGATGGTATTTCCCTGCTAACGAAGCAGGAAGCCAAGGTTTAATGAGAGCAAGTGGCCAGTCAGTGGTAGAGCGAGGCTGCCAGCCCAGGCCCCTCTGACTCTAGCGCCTGCTGCAGGCTGGGTTGTGTGCCCTCAAAAAAGATATGTTGCCGTCCTTGCCCCCAGGACTTAAATCTATGACCTTATTTGGAGACAGGGTCTTTACAGAGGCAACCAAGTTAAAATAAGGTCATGACAGTGGGCCACCATCCAGTATGACTGGTGTCTTTATAAAAAGGGGAAATTAGGACACAGAGACAGACAGACACACACAGAGGGAAGATGCAGTGAAGACACAGAGGGAGAAAGTGGGCATCTACCAGCCAAGCAGAGAGCCTGGCACAGCTCCTTCCCTCACGGCCCTCCGCTCACACTTTGATTTCGGACTTCTGATCTCTAGAACTGTGAGAGAATGAATTTCTGTTTTTTGTTGTTGTTTTAAAGATTTTAAAAAATATGTTTTTATTGATTTTGGAGAGAGAAGGGAGAGGGCAAGAGAAATAGAAACATCGATGAGAGAGAAACATCCATCGGCTGCCTCCTGCACGTCCCCTACTGGGCATCGCATCCGAAACCCAGGCTAGGAATCAAACCAGCCACCTCTGGGTGCAGAGGATGTCGCCCAGCCAACTGAGCCACACCGGCCAGGCTTTCTGTTTTTCAAGCCGTCTAGTCTGTGGTCCTTGGTTAGGGCAGCCCTGGGTAACTAATCCAGAGCTGGTGTGGCTCACCGTGCTGCTGGGCTGTCCCATCTGAAAATAGGGTGACAATTCTCACCCCCCATGCTTGCCATGAGGATTAGCTAGGACAGTGCCTGCAAGGCCTCAGCCCACAGTGCTCGATCGCTACTCCCTGCTCAGCACACGCTTGCTGGCTGACTAACGGGAAGAGGGGGATAGATGTCAGAGCTGGCCACATCGCCAAAGATAGTTTGTGAGGAGACAGGGAAATGTTTTGAAAGGTGAAGGAATGACTTGGTTTCTATAGAAACCTGGGCCCAAAGTGCCCCATTGTGGGCTACCCACTCATTTTAATTAGGATCCTTCTCAGCAGATGCAAAAAGAGATGCACAGGCCACCTACACGCGGTCTTTGGGGTACCAGGACCCCAGTTCAGAGGAGGAGGTGGGGTAGGAGTGGTGGGGTGACGTTTTAAAGCCTTGTCTATTTTCCCAGGACAAATCCTCGGGCCTTCACATCTCTTGGTCCTTCAGAACCTCTCAGGATTGCAGTACAGCCCCTGGGACTTCACAGAGACTATGACCCCCGCCCGCCCTGCTCAGACACGATGGGTCCCAGGGTGCCAGGAACAGCTCTTTGGGGCACGGATGTTTCACTCCCAGAAAACTGGGAACCACCGCAGGGGACAGAGGAAGGATTCTATTCCTTTCTGGGCGGCCTGTCTTCCACTGCCAGTGGGATACTTGCCTTTTTTCATGTTCAAAAATACCATTTAAAGTAACTCAGGAATGATCACCGTTGTGTGAAAACTAAAAACATATGACTAGAAAAAAAACCAGGAGGCATTGTCCTGAAGGTTGGCAGACTTACCCCTCAGGAAGTTGTTATGCTATTCAATTTTATACCTTCCTTCCCATGCAGCAGTTTCGAGGGTTCCATAGTGATCTAACCGTAGCTAACTGTGTCAGGCATTGTTCTAAGTACTTGTGTGAGGGAAGTGTTGATTTGTTCCCATTTGGCAGGTGAGGAAACTGAGGCTTAGAGAGATTAACTAATCAGTGTGGTGACACAGCAGCAGGTCTGGAATTTGAACACAGATCTGCCAGAATTAAAAGTCATGAATGAACTAAACTCTAATGAACTAGTCCCTTTTATAATGGTGGAGAGGGGGCAGAGGACCTTGTTTTATCGGTAAATAACATTTTTTAAAAGCTAGGAAATTAAAGGAGATAATAGATAAATTATAGATGGATGGATGGGTAGGTAGATAGAGAGATTAGATGATAGATAGATAGAAATAGATTTTCACTGAACTTCCAGGCCACCAGGAGCACAGTGCATGTATGAGTGTGTGTGTGTGTGTGTGTGTGTGTGTGTGTGTGTGTGTGTGTGTAGGGGGGAGGACAGGTAATGCCATCACATGATAAATACAACTTTAAGAAGCCAGAAAATATATCCTGAAGAAGTTGTCTACTTTCTGGCCAGTAAATTTGAGGTCTAAAGCAGAGTTTGGCAAACTATGGCTCATGGGACAAATCCTGCCCACTGCTTGTTTTTATAAATAAAGTTTTATTGGAACTCAGCTGGCCCCATTCCTATAGCCTCTGACCAAGTTGAGTAGTTGTGACTGAGACCGAATGGGCTGCAAAGCCTAGAATATTAACTGTCTGGCTCTTTACAGGAGAAGTTTAAGTTACAGTTAACATAGGATGGGAGAGTTCTAGAAATCAATTGTGACTACAGTTAATAACACTGTACTGAGCGCAGCCTGGCGTGGTTCAGCGGTTGAGCGTCGACCTAGGATCCAGGCGATCGGGGTTCGATTCCCGGTCAGGGCACATGCCCGGGTTGCGGGCTCGATCAATGACTCTCTCATCATTGATGTTTCTATCTCTCTCTCTCTCTCTCCCTCTCCTTTCCTCTCTCTGAAATCAATAAAGATATATTAAAAAAAAGAAAAAAAAAAGAAAATGGTTTAAAAAAACAAAAACAAAAAACACTGTACTGAAGACTGGAAATCTGCTAAGAGTACATTTCAGGTGCTCTCATCACAAAGGAAAGGTAACCACATGAGGAGATACGTTAGTTGGTTTGACTATAGTATCATTTCACTATGTGTATGTATATCAAATCCTGTTGTACACCTTAAATATATACAATTTTATTTAAAATTATATATTTTTTAAAAAAGCTTGCCTACCCTTGTCTAGAGCAATGCTTCATAAACATTAATGTACATATGACCCCCACCCCCCACTCCCGGGAACTAGTCACAAAGCAGATTCTGATTGGGCAGGTCTGCTTTGAGGCCTGAAGGTCTGCATTTTTAACATGCTCTCAGGCGATGCCGCTGGTCCACAGACACTTGGGATTGAGCATGTAACAAATACTTTGCTTTTCTATCCAGAGAGAGAGGCATGAACCCATTTACCCAAACCTCCAGCTATTATCAGCACAGATCATTTCGGAGGTTTATTTTCCAAATCAAAGGATCCTTCACTTTTCAAAAGGACTTCCGGTGACCTGTGTCTAACTACCCCCCTCCCCACCTAGCNCTTTTCTATCCAGAGAGAGAGGCATGAACCCATTTACCCAAACCTCCAGCTATTATCAGCACAGATCATTTCGGAGGTTTATTTTCCAAATCAAAGGATCCTTCTTCACTTTTCAAAAGGACTTCCGGTGACCTGTGTCTAACTACCCCCCACCCCACCTAGTAGGTTTCCACTCAGAGAGTGATTTCCATGACAGCAGGGCCCCCGAAGCAGAGTGCACCAGGTGATGGGGAGTGCCAGCTTTTAAAAATGTCAATTTGGGGGAAGGGTGTTTTATAACAGACATGCTATATTAGTACAGTAAGCAGTGCACGCACATCACCTATGGAATAAATGCTTATGATTTATAGATAAATGTGCATGCTCCGCGTGTGTACCCTGGTGACGTGAGGCAACCGATGACAAGTGGTGTGGTGCCCTCTGAATCGGGGCCTGGGCCGCCCTGGGAGCCTGCGGCAGGCTCGGCAGGCTTTCGGGCCCAGTGCCAGCAGGGCAGCGCCCCGTGTGGGCACAAGTTATTTCTTGCAGGCGCACCAGCAAGTGTTCAGGGAAAACAGGAGCAACACTCTGCCAGCTTCAGAGTGTCGGGGCACCTGACTGAGATTTCGGGAAAGGAAGGGGCAGTGCAAGGTGGGGAGTGTGCAGGATGCCAGAAAAAGGCTTGTGCTTGGTCAGCGACAATCACAGCAAAGTTTGCTGTCATTTATCGAACACTTACTACTTGCCAGCATCTATATTAAGTATCATAAGGAAATTATTTCACTTGATCTTTGTGAAGTCGGCACTGTTACTGTCCTCTACTTTATTCAGGAGGAAACTGAAGCTCAGAGAGGCAAAGTGACTTGCCTGAGGATACGCAAAGTGGGAGGAAGACTGGGTTTTAGCGATATGAATTCTCCATAAGGCAATGAGATCCCAATGAAACACCAGCAGATTTAAAGATGTAAGTCTGAGCAAACTGCACACTAGAACTATTTATTAATGATAACATTTGCTTCTCTTTGTTGAGCACTTACTCTGTGTCAAGGCTGGGATGTGAGCTCTGTTATAACCCATCTCACAGAGCAGGAAACTGAGCCTCAGAAGTGAGTGCACACCCAGGGCCACAGGGTGGCTCAGAAGCAGGGCTGCTGTTGCTCTTAGCTCCCCTATGGGGCTGGCCCAGGGCAACTTTCCAGCTGTGGCTGTGAGCTCTGTCCGGTGGTGCAGAGAAGAGGGAGGAGAGCAGGAGATTGGGGTCTATCTACCCCGTTCCTCCTGAGCTCCTGGCGGTCCCTGCCTGGGCCTGGGAAGCAATCCTGACCCAAGCTCCTGGGCAAGGGCCTCTTTCCTCCACTCAGGCCAGGAGGTGGACTTCTTGGGGCCCAGGATGCAGAGGTGAGAGCTGTGGGCCTCGGCCGCCCTGACCCTCCTCTCCGCACAGGCCTTTCCACAAGCTGACATCAGTATCAGCCCAGGTGAGCACAGGGGCCAGAGCCAGGAGCAGGTGGAGAGGACACCCCATAGTCATGGTTCTATCAGTGAGGCCTGGGTTGCAGGTCTGCCTGACCTGAGGAATGTTGGGGGGCCCGAGCTGAGCCTCCTGACAGCCCTCCAACTCCCTCCCTCTACCTCATGGGCATTGTCCTAGGGCCAGACCTGAAGAGTACTGATTTTAAATCCCAGCTTTGCATCTTAAAAGCTATGTGGCCTGGTGCAAGTTTCTTAACCTCTCCGAGCCTCAGCTTCCTTTGGAAAACAGTGCACAGTGGCACCCTCCAGGGCTACTGTAGGGAGGTAGGAATGTGGGTAACTGTTTAGTGCCTGGTGCCTGGAGCCATAGGAAGATCTAAAAATAGTAGGTGTTAGGAATTTGGCATCTGGGCTCCCCACCCCACC